CAGACAAAACTTAATAGTGTTTAATTTTTGTTTTACAAAAAGCATTGCAGCAATACCCAAATCTGCAGTTTCCAGATCCCATTGATGAAAATAACACACTCGTCCTAGTAACTTAATGAAGGGCTTCTTATGAAATAACCACCCCTGAGGAACATAGTTACAAAACTGCAACTTTTTGAAATTGATTTTACTAAAATAAAAAAGCAACTTCGCTTTCCCCTTACTTCTAATATGTAGTTATGGATTGTAACATTGGAATTCTTACATCTTTCCACCCATTCAAAATACTTAAAACATATATTTATATCATATACGAATTGATTTCTATTTGAGGCCTCCCTTTCTGTGGCTATAGAAATCAAAAGAAAATTATTGCAATATACTTTATAATGTATTATGAAATCTGAATCTGCCAGCAACTGTTACTTGCTTACATTTATATGACTTAACCATTTTCTCTGATATCTGTCTTTTTTATCTTTATGTCTTCTGCTACATTTTAAAATAATTTTACTGCATTTAATACTTTCCTTATTTAAATTATTTTTCATAATGCATTTCTTCTAAACAAATTTTAAAAAGTTCACTAAAAACTTGCATCTTTTTTTAAAGATTTCATTTATTTATTTGTCAGGGAGAGAGGGAGTGCACACAAGCAGAGGGAGTGGCAGAGGCAAGGGGAAAAGCAGAATCCTCACTGAGCAGGGAGCCTATTGTGAGACTCAAGTCCAGGACCCTCAGATTATGACCTGAGCCGAAGGTAGACACCTAACTGACTGAACCACCCAGCCAACTCAAAACTTGTATCTTTTAAGAAAACAAAATAGTTTTGTACCTCCTGTAACTCTACTTGGCTTTCTTCTATGAAACCTTCCATGACTGAATAATATATTGCTTGAGAGTAAAATGCCTGACATTGTACATACCTGAGTCATCTTTTTTAAAATATATTTAATCCCAATCTCTGTAATACTTAAGACTGAGTTGAAAGATTGGCCATGGTGAGATATATACCTTCACTGTTAATTGTTTGGAAGCACTGCGATAAATATTTGCTCATTAATGTCATTCTTTGTTCCAAAAAATATCCAGATAAAGTTACAAACATATTCTAATTTAAATAAAAAACACATGTGTGCATGGCCTCAGTCTTTTCTTTCTCCATCACAAATACATATATGGTTCTGGGTGTCCTGCTTTGTCTTTAATGCATCTCTCCTGCCACACTCAAACTGTCCCTGACAGCAAATTTAAAAAATGATTTTGATGCATATAGAATCTGACTCACTTGATACATGTAAATAGAGCCAATGAGAGAATTAAAGAGTACCTACCTACTAGGGTCTGGGATGACTGTACTTAATCCTCAAAACAATCCCGTGAAATGACTTCATTCATTTTCATGGTTTAAAGTGTCCTTATGCTGATGACAGCCAAATTTTTATCATCAGTGTAGCTAAGCTCCAGACTCTTTATTAGACACAATTTTGGGAGTCTAACAAGTACCTTAAATTATGTCCAAAATGATAATCTTGATCCTCCCCATTCTTCTTCATTGTGGTAAATCACAATTATATTCTTCTGGTTGCTTGGTCCAAAAATTTGCAGTCATGCTAGACTCTTTTCCTTCTGTTCCACCCCACATCTAATTAACAATTCCTGACAACAAAACCTTCAAAATACATCTAGAATCTGAGCGCTTCTAATCACTTCCATGCTTGTGCCCTTGCCCAAGACAAGATTTAACTTCTCTGGCTTAGATTAGTCCCATAATCTCTTAATTGCTTTTGCTCAACCAAGAAGCCCGTGTGTTTGTTTCTCTTATTCAAATTTTATCACTTTTCTGCTCAGAATCTTTCAATGATCTTTCATTTGAGAATGATGGGCACCACCCTTATAATGGCCATAGGACCAGTGTTTCCCTGTCAGATCTCAGTTTTTACTACCTTTCTTGTCCCTCCATTCATTAGTCCACTTGCTGTTTCTCAGATCATTAGATGTGTGTCCATGTGAGATATATTTTACATATTTATTTTTGATCCATCTCCCCAATTGGAATAACACCTTCATGACAGCTAGAATTTTTCTATTGGTTTCCTTGTTGAAACTGTAACACCTGGAATGGTTCTGTCACAGAGTAACCATTCAATAAATAATTGTCAAATAAATGAATAAAGTAATGGATGAGAAAATTATTATCACAAATTTTCCATAAAATATGATTGAGAATGAAATGGAGGATGTAATTGGCTCAGTGATAATTAACTTTGCCAGTTAGTGAGTCAACCATTTCAAGCTGCCAGAGTGGGTGATCTTTTATCTCTGTCACATTTCCTTCCTAAATTTATGAGCCCCATTTACAGCATGAACACTACCAAACAGAAGTAATTTTAGTTGTGATTAGGATATGTACTTCCCAGAAAGTCCAATTTTAGTTGGTACTTTAGTGAGAGAAGTTTCTGGATCACATATTTTATAATAATAGGCTTAATTTTGGCTCACTGATAAATAATATGTTAAAATTCAGGTAAAGGGCCAACTATCAAAAAGTAATAATAATTAACAACTATACTATAGATATACTTAATAATATTTTTTAATAGTGCCAATTTTGCAATCACCGCATTTGAGCTGTCTCTCTAATAAGAAGCAATGACCTTTGTATTTCACACAAAAAACTTAGGCTTTCACAGTTATTTGCATGAATCAATATATCTCCTGACAAGATCCTTTGATTTATCTTTTATTCTTATAATATATAACCTAATTATTGTAAAAGAGTAAACACATAAATTTAAATAAATATGTATATATATGTATATATAAAGTGTGTATTCAAAATTTTTAATTTTAAAATTATTTACATTCCTAGCAGACATAATTAAAAACAAACTCATATTTTAATATGTAAAATATAACTATATCTTAAGACATTAAAATGCAATAGTTGGATTTCATGGAAAATTTCAAGTAGTCCCAGCTGGCAATACTTTGCACCTTTGTCATCCTCCTCCTTCTACTTAGAAGGAGAATAGCCTAAAGCAAAGCAGACATTTTGTGATTACAAGGAGAGAATCTTGGGGATTAAGTTCTACAGCTAAAAATGTTAGAATTTAAAAAAAAAAAAAAGGAATGAACTAGGTGCAGTGTTGAGTCAGACATGCTGTTCTAGATGCCGTGCCCCAGACTTCTCATTTATAAAATGGAGTGATGAAAAGATTCAGGAGTTAGACGGTGGTGATGTTTTCACAAGACTGTGACTATGCCAAGAAACATTAAATCGTATGCAATAGATGGGTGGTTTGTATGGTACGTAAATTATGGCTCAATAAAGTTATTCTGGTGGACTGCAGCATTTATGGTGACAGTTGTGAAGTAATTTTGCTGGTCAATCTTATTCAAAGAAAATCCTTAATTATGTGGAAAAATGTCTTCGACAACCCTCTTTTGTAGTAAGGCAAAATTCATTAAAGTATATTGGGAAAAGTCATATTTTAAGGATCACTGAAATGCCTTTTTAACTTAGAGCAAGAGCAATTTATTCACTAAGGCAATATTGTATGCCAATAAATAATATTTACTAGGACTTGAACAGTACAATTTAACCAGTCTATAATTAATGATGTATGTTAGCGTTGATGAGCCTCATTTATCATTTCTACAACAATAAAATGAGACTAGATATTCAGTTCTAAAGTTGCATCTCATGACAAAGAGGGCTTGGAAAAATAATGAACTCTTGTGATGAGTTCTATGAATGTTCCATTGATTGGTGTTAAAGTCATTTTCAGTATTTTATTTAATTTCATTAAAATGAAATTACTTTCTTCAAAGAAAAACAATTTATTCATAATCCTGTTACATCTTTTCCATTGCACAAATTAAAGGTTTGTAAATATAGAGAATAGAAATATTTTCATTCAGAACTTTAAGAAAATTGCTCCTCAGAAAATCTTACTATCTCAATAGAGCAGAGACATAATTAAAAATAAGGGAGTAAAATCTACCTGAAAATACTGCAGGGTATTTGTTATTTTCCAATTAGCAACTTACTCCATCTAGTATTAAATCCCAAGAAATTAAAAAAAATTAAAGATTAAATCTCCAAAAAGAATTTTCCTTCTTGATTTATTTGATTTGACACTTCACTTAAATAACAATCAATTAACTTACTAATTTTAAATAATCATATTCATAAGCACCACAGTAAAATTTACTTAGAAAATCAACACTTTGTCTAAAATACTAAATAAGGAATAAGAAAAGGTATGAAATGCAATGTAACATTTGTCTCTTCAAATAAGAGTGGGGATGTGCTCACGAATTATATTTTCCTTGATCATCCAAGTCAAATACAAACTCTCTCATAGAACAACAAAATGGTCTTAGAACTTTCCCTCATCTACCTTGAAATGCATATAAAAAAGTGATTTCTTTTATATTACTTGCTAATTTTATCAAGTACTTTGTTATTTTATAGTAACTGTAAAGTTTTAATTTTGAGGTCAATCATGTACGTATAGCTTTAAAATAAAAACTTACCTCAGGAAAAGAAAAAAAGGTTTCAAGATCTCATACTAATGATTGTCATTATCCTGTGTTTTAAAGTTTTATTTGTTAAGTATCCTGAAAATAGAAACAGTGTCCTAATCCTAGACCTAACAAATGATGTAGACACTTAGAATTTAGGATGAAACAAATTATCTCAAGATTAGTTAGAAAAGACAGAAAATACCTGCCAGTTTTTTATATGTCTTAGACCACTTCCCCCTCCCCCTCCCCCTCCCCCTCACCCCCCACCCCACCTCTTAACTGGTCTATATTTATCTATCTGTCAGACGAAGATAACTCACACAAATACAAGTGTTGTATAGGTACATATCTAGCTATATACCTTGGCTTACTGTACTTCTAAATCACAGGAATGCACTTATATTATTGTTATTATTATTATTTTTACAATTAAAAAATGCGTTATCTTAAAGAAAACATATACTTACTGCCCTCTAGAGGTATGAACCAGTAGTGTAATAAGTGTAGATGTTGCCGGGCATATACAGTTTAAAGCTAACATGGCGTATTTAAACTCTTCTTCACAAACAACGTGATCTGTTTGAAATAGAACAGGTAAATTAAAATAATTTACCTTGGAGAGTACTAATTTAAAATAATATGAAAAATAAAACAGCAAATAAAATTACAGAAGTTTCCACATAAACACACTTGTCTTCAAGATATTTTTACGTGTGCAATTTTCCCCAGGAAAAATGTTTCATGAGAGTGAGTACTAGATTATGAGTTAAGTGGCCCCTTCTGTCTTTAATAAAATCGGCAGCCTTCAGAAAAATGTTTATTTTTCCTATGCTTTATCTGTACAAGGAGGTGAGAGGTAGATAGTTTGAAGGCGCAGTATGGAAAACAATTCAGGGACTGTATAAAGTACCTTTTAATTCTGATAATTCTATGGTATGAAATGCAGTAGTATTGATTTAAAGCATTATTGATTTATCAAATTCATAGTCACATGGCACACAGACTTAGAATTATTAAAAGACATGGTAGATAACATTTATATAGTGGTAATAGATCTTGTACAATCAAAACAACTATGACTTCAGGCAATAAAAACTAATGCTAAAATACATTTAAATTAAAATTGTATTTTGACCTCAGGACCTACAGTCATAAATGCAAGAGACGATAGGATTCAATCAGGAAAGATAATAAATGGCAATTGAAGTCACTGACATAAAAGCAAGAGAGTGTGCTAAAGGTGGGGGCATATGAGAGGTTGCAGGCCACATTAAAGGGAGGTGATGCTACTCAGCCCATGTCTATTACTTCATACAGCAATGAGGGCACAGATACCAGGTATCCAATTTTCCATAGAAGTCATATTTTAGAGAAGTGATTAAGATATTGTTTACTTGGGGGGGTGGACTTTCCTTCCCAAGTAAACAATTACAGTTGGTATGAGAAATAAAGGCAATGTGTAAAGTTCTAAGAAAATAAATATTCCCAGAAAATAGTTTTAGCTACGTTAAGAAATAGACGGTTGAATTTGTAGGTGAGTTGGATATCTACAGAATGAACACACAGGGGCCCCTGGGCCGCAGAATCAGTTAAGTACTGCAACTTCGCTCCTCACTTCTCAATGCCATATGATAGCCAAGGTTTATTGAACATACCACTAAAGTCTTCTCTGTCTTTCCCACCTTCTCTACCTCCATTACACTGTCCCTACTTGTTACAGGGTTCCAATCCTTATCCATAATTCTTAAGAGCCATATATCAGCTTTTAGAATTATTATTATTATTATTATTATTTTAGATTTTAGAAAGGCAATGTGCTTTACCTACCAGACCCTATGTAATACATGTAGGGAGCAACCTATGCTTTAACATACTATTATTCCTGCAGCTAAATGTATGAATACTAAGTGGAAAAATAAAATTCAGTGTGAGGATTGCTACCAAATAATTTCAGGTCAGGTGTGATTTCACCACCAACAGAAATGCTTTTCTTTCTTTCTCTCTCCCATTCTTTCTTTTCTTTCTCCCCCTTCCATCCATCCATCCAGCCTTCTTTCCTTCCCTTCCTTCCTCCTTTCCTTCCCTTCCCTTTCCTTTGCTTTTTTTTTTTTTTTTTTTTTTTTTTTTTTCAGAATTTTCTGGATTTTGGAATTATGGCTAAGGGACTGTGAATCTTTATTCAAACTATGTTTATCTTTCACCCAGACAAATGCAAGAGCTTCTTAACTGCTTTTCATGTCTTCCAACTCTTCAGCATTTTATTACCCTTCCAAAACTGTGCTGTCCAATTAGAGCTGCCACCGCCACATTTAGCCATTTAAATTTAAATACATTGAAATACACATAAAAGTTCAGTTCCTCCCTGTTACTAGCCATCTTTTAACAGCAATAAAGTGCTCAAAAACATTTGTGGTAACTGCCTACAGTATCAGACAATGTAAATATGGAATATTTGTTATCACCAATAACTAGACAGTGCTATAAGCCAAACAGATTAATGACCTTCCATAAATCCTAAAGCTTATAGGATATATTTCACATTCCTTAAAATGTCACTCATACACTGGCAGAATTTGGGTAACCTTACTAACATACTATATACTACCTTTCCATGACTTTTCTTAGTCACATTGCTGCTAAAATTGCTCATTTATAATAATAGGAGGGGAGGCAGAACAGTCGGGTATACATGCAGGTTGGTAGGTAGATTGTATAGGTGTAAGTTTATGAAAATTCTGTTTTCTTCTTATGGTTCTGTTTTCTTTGTGAAATTGGTGGAAATAACGAGTAAAGGAGAGGCTGGAGGTTAAGAGGAGAAAATACAGCATAGTCGCTTCAGAGAGTGGAAGAAGAAACAGAACAGTGAAACACAGAAATGATATGTGGCAGCTGCTGATCCCGAGAAATCAAGGATCATGAATTTAAAGTGGGAATAGTCTGCACATTATCTTTTGTTTATTTTGTTTATTCGGGCCACATTCAAATTCATGGAAGTAAACACTATCTTCTGTCAAGAAGACCGAGAAAATTCACCACAGTGACTTCTGACAAGTCTAAATAAAGGTCAATGAACTGAGGATGAGTTAAAATAACGGATTATAATGGTGTGCTATCGAATTCAAACAGGTTAAGAAGAGAAGACAGGATCTGCAGTTGTCAATAATGGTAAAGGTTTGGTAGAATCAATGAATTTTAAGACCCAGTGTAGTCAAAAGATAGGTGGAGTTCTGTACTAGAGGATGTGAACTGGAATGAGAGGCAGTGGTCAGAAAGAGGGTCATCAGGAAGAGAGATTATGGAAGCATCACATTAACAAGTAATGACATGATCTGTGGAGTGTCCCTCTGGAAGCGGGTGCTGAAATAGGACAGTGAACAAGAACATTCGAAATAGGAGAATTACAGGTACACAAATCTAGGGCATTGAGAGAATCATTTTCATGGCTATCAATATCATTAACTATTATGACCATACAGTGTTGGAAAGAATGAGTAAACTAGGAGACCAAGGGCTTTTCAGCTCTCTCTCTCTCTCTCTTTTTTTTTTTTTTTTTAATTTCTGCTACTTGTCTTTCTTTTCTGGGATATCTCCCAGTTGCAAACTGCCAATTTTTATCAAATAATTTTTTTAATTAAAAATGTGAGACTTGGGGCGCCTGGGTGGCTCAGTGGGTTAAAGCCTCTGTCTTCAGCTCAGGTAATGATCCCAGGGTCTTGGGATCGAGGCCCGCATCGGGCTCTCTGCTCGGCGGGGAGCCTGCTTCCTCCTCTCTCTCTGCCTGCCTCTCTTCCTACTTATGATCTCTGTCTGTCAAATAAATAAATAAAATCTTTAAAAAGAAATGTGAGACAATGTTATATAAAATTTAAGTATATTGAAAATGCATAATGGAGAATTATATCTGTAACAGAAATTGCTATTTTTCCTTATTATCCATTTTCCCCTCTGTATGCAGAAACAACATATCTATGGAAACATGTCTAGAGAAATGCTTGGAAGGGAGAAGAATACAAATGTGTGGTTGGCAGGGCCTTGCTGATTTTAGTCAGGTGTACATAAAGAGACGACCCGAGGTAAGAACTGATCACTTTGGAAGCAGAAAGCAAAAGGAATAAAGCTCTCTTAAACAGGGCATTATTTCTTACAGCCAGAAAGCTAAAACAAGTGTCCAAGAAAGAATCTGGACAGTTGCAGAACCAAAAAAGTGACCCATACCCTGAACAGCAGGAGATGATACTTTCTCAGAGTCTTTATGAGAGGCCTTCCACTAAGACTTCTCCCAAACCAATAAAGCCAGGCCTGTGGCAAGAATCAAATTAAAGTGCTGTTTTCCTACTCAAACTTATCTGTTTTAGATGATGGCAAGGTAGCTGCCATTACAATCAAGAAGGAGATATGAGCAGGGCAACAAAAACCAGTAAACACAGCAGGTTTAAGAAGGTCCTTGGAGAAGAATTTGGAGCACAATTACTGACACATGGAAAGGAATGAAAGAACTCTGCTCCAATTTGAACTTTTTCTGTGGCCACAGAGAATAGTGAATAAAGAATATCTTTGAATAGACATGAAAAGACAAAGGAGTTACTCCTTAAGAGCAGAATGAGTGTCTAATAAGGAATTTATTACGAGGTCTCTACCATTCACGTCTGACAGGATTTCTTCATTGCTATGGACCAACAACTGCGTGTGTCTCCAGTTCTTCCTTTTTCTAAACACCGATATTTTACCAAAATTATCTTGTTTCACTATTTTATATGCATAAGTAGTAGGGGTAGAGGTAGCTAACTAATTTATTAGTGTGTGTGTTGCCAGACCGTGAGAAGCCACACCTAAAACTGACTTTGCATTATCCAGCATGGCTGGATTGCCATGGGCTTTGAGTTGGATGCAATAATTGATACAGCTCTGTGGAGTGTTTTTCATATAAATGGATGAATCTCTCAATATATAGGGAAAATATTGTACAGGACTACTAGGTGTATAAGGATCTGGACTGTGGCTGAAACTGCTATCACCCATGTTCATTCCTTCCTTCTTCCTTTGAGTAAGAGAAGCTCTTATTTCCTCTCACCCATCCCCCAGCTGTCGCTGGGTGCATGGCTGTCCAGGTAGAAATTACATTTTCCAGCTTCCCTTTAGTTAGCTATGGTCACTTGACTAGGTCCGTCCAGCTACCATCTTATTTTTTTGTGGACAAAACCACCTTTCCTAAACTCTTTCCTTCTTGTTGGTGAGACCACATAATGGCAAAAACTCCACCTTGATTGTGCAGAGGTAATTCCTTAGCAATGATAGAATCGGTCCCTTTTTTTCTTTATAGTGTCTAATTTTCCTCCCTTGTTGAAGAAAGCATGTCCTCTTTCAAAATGATGTGCATCTCATGTCTTCTTCTCATCCTTTTACAGTTTCTGTGTATCTGTTTTTGATTTAGAACCTTCTTGTTTGTAGCTTCCTGTTAAAGCATGAGCACAGGAGACCAAGTGTTGTCACTACTGAGTGTGCCAAGCCATGAGCAGATACTGATCCCTCTGAGCATAATTTGCCTGATTTTTAAAATGTAAATAGTAACCGTATGT